GAGAGAGAGAGAGAGAGAGAGAGAGAGAGAGAGAGAGAGAGAGAGAGAGAGAGAGAGAGAGAGAGAGAGAGATCAGGTACGTCTCCAACCTCCTGGCTGGCCCATGGTACTTCCATAGATAGGATGAGCAAAATCGAATGAATCTACTGCTAGAACATGGAAATGTTATGTACCCGATTGAACTTCAATCCACAACCAATTCACACGTTCCCATACAAGCATGCAATTGCAGAGTAGACTCGAAGGAGGCAAATCCACAGAAAACCTGAGAGAAGATATGCAAAGTGGAAGCTCAAAACACAGAGAATTGGAAAACGAATTTCAATTCTGCAATCCCTCACACTCCTCAGTCCAGAGTACTTGTTCCAAGAATCACAACCGCGTTTACAACAATCCCGAACAACCAGAAACGAGTGTTCAACGAAATATACAGGAGTCTTCTTCTTCCTCCTCGCCGCCTCATATCCCAGGCTATGGCTGCCGTAGCAGCAGCAACCCCACAGCTGTCACAACATGCCAATCTGAACCAGCAGCCCTAAGGATAACAGCACCAGCTCAGCACCCGCACGGACGTGCAGCGCTGGAAGTCCTCATGAAGAAGCAGAAATATTCCAACACTTTGAAGAAGATGAAATATCTCGTGAGGAGGAACAGCAGATATGGCTGCCAAGTGGAAAGTGCCAGCGCCCAAACCCAACAACACAGTCCTGTGGAAGCTCTCATGAAAAGCTGCGAAACAGCAACAGTGCAGTCTTCAACGTCCTTTCCCAACCCCAGCTATGGTTGGGCTTCGAAGAAGAAGATGACCTCGCCCAAAATAGAGCAGCAGTGCTCCAGCAACGGATGGGCAGAGTTTCCCCAGTCCAACGAAAATGCAAAAGACCCGAACTAATTTCCTGGACGGCCAGAGTTTCCCTAGTCCAACGAAAATGCAAAAGACCCGAACTAATTTCCTGCCCGCTACTTCTAACCTCTGCCTAGACCTACAATGGACTCCCCAAAGCAACAACCCAAGACCTATCTGTATCTAAATGGAAACAGGGAGAAAGGGGCCTAGACTTATGACAAAGCAAAAGAAAAAGGCCGAATGGCCTAGGGCTACCAAACAGAGACTACTAGTCACAGACGCAGGGATCAAGCCCCCGAGGGCACAACACTCACAAACAAAACACACAGGTTACAGGTCAGGGGATCAAGTCCCGCGAGGTTCAAAACACACAAACAGCAAACAAACAGGCAATACAACAGACAAAGGTTGCGGGATCAAATCCCAGCGACAGGGACAAAATTAGTATACAGCCCGATTGTAGCACTGCAATTCAATGCAGAAATATGCACTGCCACACGCATGCGCGCGCGTGTGTGTGTGTGTGTGTGAGAGAGAGAGAGAGAGAGAGAGAGAGACAGACAGACAGACAGACAGACACTCACACACACACAGAGAGAGAGAGAGAGAGAGAGAGAGAGAGAGAGAGAAAGAGAGAGACAGTGCCAACCTCGCGGCTTCGCGGCTGGGCTCATGGTACTTCCATCGATAGGATGAGCAAAATTGAGTGAATCTACCGCTAGAACATGCAAATACACACTGCCACACGTGTGTGTGTGTGTGTGTGTGTGTGTGTGTGGGTGGGTGTGGGTGTGTGTGTGTGTGTGTGTGTGTGTGTGAGAGAGAGAGAGAGAGAGAGAGAGAGAGAGAGAGAGAGAGAGAAAGAACAGGTAAGTCTCCAACCTCGCGACTGGCCTCATGGTACTTCCATCTATAGGATGAGCAAAATATAATGAATCTACTGCGAGACGTGTGTGTGTATAGGCAGAAGGGGAAATAGGACCGCCAGTCTGGTAGGGACATAATGAAATGTTGTGCCCTTCACTTAGAGGGGCCTGCACGAAATTTCAGAGGCCCAGGGGCATGTCATTGGAGGGTCAAATCACAAATAATGCAAACGTCAGGGGCTTTTGAAAAATTTTCCACTTTTCTTTCAAGCAGATGATTATCATCCCCTCTTCTATCCCATCTGTCAAGGTGAGCGAAGGCCAATGCTCACTGATCTCCAATGATCTCAATCACACTCCGTGTACTTTACCTACCTTACTTCAGAAGAATCTTCCATTCAGATACAGACTGGTTCATCTCTTTTTTTTTTTTTTTTTTTTTTTAAACATGTCCCGCCGGTGTTAGAGGTGCTGGTACGAGCAGACACCGCTAGCACCTGGGGAGAGGCTTCATCTATTGGTGGGGACCATCACCTGCTGGAAAACGGGTCCAGCGTCCCATTTACAAACCGAATTTGGAATACATCAGAAAACAACCATGGGAAGTTCCTGCCAGCATTGAATCCAGGAGATTGACTGAGCAGGCTTATTGGAAGGTGGGTGTGGCATACTCTGTACCACACGGGCCCAGCAGAGCCCCACAAGGTAGACTAAGGGTCAGTAGGTGTAGGACCTATTTCGTTTCAGCCTAAACGCCTGAAAACGAGGGACTACAGGCCCTGTGTCTTTTCAGCCTGAAAGCCTGAAAACAAGGGCCTACAGGCCCTGTGTCGTTTCAGCCTAAAACAGGGCCCTCCAGGCCCTGAGTCTTTTCAGCCCGAAACTGAGGGCTATTTTCAGGCCCTCATAAGATCGACCTGCCCTGAAACTTAGGCACCAGACCAGGGTTTTAGCACAGGCCATTTTGGGTCTGTTTTCAAGACAACCTTTGGTTGAACTTCAATGCCAGGGTCTGGCACGTTTTGGCATTGGCAAGAGCAGCCTCCTGGACGGGCCAGCACTATATAAGACTGGCCCGCCCTGCAGCCATGGGGCAGTCACGAGGCAGTTCATAGGAACTTCCCAGGCACTTCACGTGCAGGAGGCAGGAGGTAGTCTTCAGGATTCGGCAGCAGCACTCCGGAGGACCGCTGCAGGAGTAGTAGTAGCTTTAGCAGTAGTCTTCAGCGCTGGGCGCTAGTAGGAGCCAGAGTAGTGATGGAGAGAGAGAGAGAGAGTGATGGTTGGCGGAGGCCAGGGAGACTTACCTGTGGCGCCATAGCTCCAGCTTTGTCTTAAATGTACCTGCAACAAGGCGCCACCTTCACAGGTTAGTACCGGAGAGAGAGAGAGAGAGAGAGAGAGAGAGAGAGAGAGAGAGAGAGAGAGAGTTCTTCTTCCTCTTCCAAGTCCACCATCTCTTCCTCACCCTCTCGCTACCTGACTTCTCAGTATCTGCAGACTACGAGAGAGAAAGATTGGTGACTTTGGGATTTGACGACAGTTGGATCCAGACTCGACATTGGTATTCAGACATTTGACGAAGGATTATTTGGGACTGTACCGAAGACTTGGTGTTGATGACATTCCCATCTTCCCCTCTTCTTCATCTAATCCCCCTCTTCTTCGTCTGTGTATAGTTGGGGACTGGCGCATTCTTCCTGTGTGAGTGCCAGGCCCCTTCACACCATGGAATGATGATGATGTATGTTTTGGTCTGCATGGCAACATTGATTTTTCGGATCATTGGTATTTAAGCCTTCCACTGTGTTATCTTGTACTTTGTGAGAGAGGTCGGTTCTTGTTCTGGTCTGTACCGTTACGGTATGCGACAGTTTGGTATCGGAGCAGACCTCTCAATCAGAGGATGCGCCCAGTCAAGTAGCCAGCTTGCTTGATCTACTGATTGCAAAATGATTGATTGAGTGATTGATTGATTGTTTCTTAGTAAATCAAGTAGGACTTCGTCAAATCTCTGCAATTTGTTTTTTCTTCTTTCTCGCAACGAATACCTGAAAATTTCTGACAGTAGCATTTCATTTTATCTGAAAATTTCTGATATTAGCATTTCGTCTTATCTGAAAATTTCTGATATTAGCATTTCGTTTTCATGCAACAAACATCTGAAAATTTCTGATAATAGCATTTCGTTTCTCTGATATTAGCATCCGGAAATTTCTGATGTTAGCATCTATAGCCGGAAATTTCTGATGTTAGCATCTCGTTTTGCTGGGCATACAGGTTAACAAGGGAGGTGGTCATATTCTGGGAAACTGGATTTATTCTTTTCTGAAAATCGAATCTCTATCCTATGTTCGCACTATTTTTTTATTTTATTTTTTCAAAATCGCAAAGAGTTTTTTTTGAAAAAAGGAAATTTTGCGAAGCCTTGCCTAGGTCTTACTCTTAGCACTCCTCCGTAAAATGCCTCACTGATAGCAGATCGACAGATATACAAAAAAAAAAAAAAAAAAAGCGGGGGTGATCCTCTTCTTTTATTTTTCTATTTTTATTCTGTTGATTAGGACCGGGAGGAAAGTACAGTTTGGTTGGTTACCTTCCTGCGTTTTCCCTCCCACCCAACCCTTTTTGCCTGCATTCCCATTTTGGTAAGTGCCATGTCAGCAGCGCCATGGCAGCAGTGCCACATCAGCAGTGCCACGTCAGCAGTACCACAACAGCAGCAGGGCCACGTCAGCAGTACCTCGTCAGCCGACACCGTACACCTAACTGCAGCTTATGCTCCGATGCAGCAAACGCATCGCAGCACGTGAAGAGCGGGCAGCCGCAGCAGAACAGCAGCTACCCCTCCCCTACCCCTCTGCAATGGATGCTCAGGGCAACCCCACGGTGGACAATGCCGCATCCAGCAGTCCACGCGAGGCGTGCAACTCGAACCCCCTGGTCCCACAGGTCCAGCAGGTGGTTTCCACTGCGACACCTGCGTGATGTGGCGCCAGTCCGGCAGCAAGGAGAGACCATGATGGCCTTCCTGGCCGCCTGGACACCTACATGCAACAAGTACGAGAGGAACAGCAACACGAGGCAGCAGCCGAAACGGCACGCCTCAAAGCCATTGCACGCGATGCGGAGCAACGGCGCCAGCAGCACGCTGAAGCAGATGCCAACCATAACAAAGCTCGAAAAGATGCCGCATCTGTCCTCATGCAGCAGGAAGCCGCTCGTACCGCCGCACTCCAAGCATGGAATGTTGATCAGGCGGAGACGACGGAACCAACTGCGGAGGAGCAGACCAAGTCAGCCCTCGCCAACATGATGCACCAAGTCATCCTCACTTGTAATTGGCAACAAGTGGAGCTGGCTCGGCAGGCACGTACCATTGTTGTGTATGAGGAGACTCTCAAGAGCCGCGATGCCCGCCTTGACGTGCTGGAGAAGGATGACGTGCCGCACAAGCACACGGCATCATCAAGCATTGATCCATCAATCCGCGAGCTGGAAGAACGAATGGATCTTCTAGTGGCGCTCGTCGGAAATTTGAACAGTTTCCGACAACCGGTGACCACAAGGCAAATAGCTGCCCTACAAGCCGATCTGCGTCAGCTGCAGCAGCAACCTAACGGGACCTGCAACAACCTGACGTCTAAACAATTCAAGATGCCGAAGTTCATCATCGACAGATTTGATGACTACCACAAGGCGGACTCCATAAGTTGGTGCCAAGGGTTCACCAACGAGATCTCCATCCACTTGGTCCCACCAGAGTCGAAGATCTCAGCATTCTACCTTTGCAGCACCGGTGCCAGCCAAGTGTGGCTCAACCACCTGGCTCAAACCAAAGGCGTCGAAGTCTCTAAGCTTTACACCAAGATCACTTGGGAGGCCATGACCGATAAGTGGCGGAAACGCTTCATCGTCGACGACGCTCAAGGCAAAGGCGTGAACCGGATCTTCAGCATGCACCAAGGCAGCCAGCCAACACGCGAATGACTAACCAAGTGGCAAAAACTCGTGACGATTCTGAATCTGGACATACCGCTCGTACATCTTCGTCGCGAATTCTTCTAGCGGTTGGTTGACGCGTTGAGCACGGCCCTTGGGGAGCGCAGCCTGTACACGGACTTTGACCAGATCGTGGATAAGGCGCACGAAGTCATCCAAACAACTCGGTGGGCCGCCAACGAGCGGTGAAGCCAACCAAATTTTGTGGAAAAGGGCAAAGGTCCACAGCCGCAGCAAGTCGCTGCTGTCCAATGCAATGGACAAGAGGACGACCAGGCACTGACTCACGAGTCTACTGAAGGAGACGGAGTCAACGCCCTTCCGCCAAGACGCAACAACAAGAAGAAAAAGACGAAATCTGCGTCAACAACGGAAGCCAGACAGTCGAATGAGCCGTGGAAGAAGTTCAACCTCACGGAGGAGCAATACAAGTTCCGCCAGACTCAGAGCTGGAACTGTTGCTACTGGTGCAACTGTTACAACACTAAGCACACGACTTCGCAATGCCCTGACAAAGGCAAAGAAGACATTTGTCAACGACAAAGCTCGGGAAATTGAGCTCCGCGGGCGCGGGAAGTGAGGCAACTCCACTTCCTACTCCGCCGAACACTGTTGCCTTGCTAACAACCTCCTCCACGTCCGGGGAACATGCGTATGTCGCCAGTCTTCACGAAGGTTATGAAGACTATGCTGTCCAGCTTGTCCCGCCGTTGGACCAACGTCTCCACGTGGAAGAGTCATATGAGTGCACGACTTCAACACCATCGCCAAGTAAACCAGCATCCTCGTCGACGCTATTCGGGAACTCGTCGATATGGTCTAGACTTGAGGAGCTCGACCCATTGACGCTGGAGGACTTCCAATGGTTGCCTCTTCCCCCATCTAGTTCCTTGTCGAAGCTGCATTGCAACGCCCTAATGGCAGAACTACGCACCTACTTGCACGCTGCAGTACCAGCTCCGTTGATAGAAGACGGAGTAGCGGTTGTTGACCTTCGCGAGTACATTGCAAAGATTGACCGCGAGTACGCCACGCAACGGTACGAGAACATCGACGCACCGTTACTCTACGTCCACATTCAGATCAAGAAGGCGACCTGCAACGCCTTGATTGATTGTGGAACTACTCGCAACTACATCAGTCAAGACTTCATGACGCACGCCGGCCTTGGGCCACGCGTTCGAAGGAAATCGCAGCCCACGCAAGTCACGTTGGTCGACGGTCGTACGCACAAATCCATTGACTGGTGCGTTGACTCCGTCCCCGTGTACTTCGCCCCTCATGCGCGCGAGGTCGTGTGACTGTGTCCTTTGACATATTGGACACACAATTTGACATGATTTTAGGCATGTCGTGGCTGCGCAGCGACTGCCAGCGAGGACCACCCGATGAACTTCTACCGCCGCACCGTTCACGTTTTTGACCGGAATGGGGTACTTGTGCCATGTACGGTCCCCCCACCTCACCCTTCGATTGGTTGTCACATGGTCTCCGCGGCAAGCATTCGCAACTCCATCGCACGGAACGACGTGGAGGAAATAGGCATTTGTTTCTTGCACGCCCTCCCTTCTCCCGACGCGCCAGCGGCGGAACAGCCACCGGCCCACCGGATCCACGCATTGTACAACTTCTTGACTCCTATGGCGACGTCTTTGAAGCCCCCGCCGGAATTGTACCGAATCGGCCAATTCGTCACGAGATTATCCTCAAAGACGGGGCCATACCTCCGCGCGGATGTATTTACCACATGAGCGAGGAGGAACTTGAAGTGCTTCGAACACAACTCGATGACCTCATTGACAAGGGTTGGATTCGCCCTAGCTGCTCGCCCTACAGTGCACTCGTTCTCTTCGTTTGGAAGAAGAACAAGGAGCTACGCTTATGCATTGATTATCGTAAGCTTAATGCTCAAACAATTAAGAATGTCGGTCCGCTCCCACGCATCGACGATCTTCTCGAACACTTGGGCAGCGCCAAGTATTTCTCCAAGTTGGACCTCAAGGCTGGTTACCACCAGCTCGAGATCCGTCCAAGAGATCGATACAAAACCGCGTTCAAGACACGGTACGGGCACTTCAAGAGGGTCGTAATGTCGTTCGGCCTCACGAATGCCCCGGCCACCTTCCAAGCAGCAATGACAACGAAGTTTGGCGACATGTTGGACCGGTTCGTGCTCATCTACCTCGATGACATCTTGGTATATAGTCGGAATTTGGACGAGCACATCGTGCATCTACACGTTGTTTTGGACAGGCTACGTACGACCAAGTACAAGGCCAATCGAGCCAAGTGCGAATTCGCGCAGCAAGAGCTCGAGTATTTGGGCCACTTTGTGACGCCGCGAGGCATCCGTCCGCTCGCGGACAAGATCAAGGTCATTCAAGATTGGACGGAACCAACCAACACCACGGAAGTTCGATCTTTTATGGGATTGGACGGGTACTACCAACGCGTCATCGGAGGATACGCACGGATCGCCGCGCCCTTGTCAAGATTGCAGTCTCCAAAGGTGCCCTTCCAGTTCACCGACGAAGTCCGCAGTTCGTTCCACAAATTGAAGACGACATTGCTCCTCGCTCCCATCTTGCGTATCTACGATCCCACCTTGCCTACGAGAGTGACCACGGACGCTTCCGGCTACGGTATGGGTGCAGTTTTGGAACAACACGACGGAGTAGACTGGCATCCAGTTGAGTACTTCAGCCAAAAGGTGCCTCCCATAACCTCGGTTGATGATGCGCGGAAGAAGGAGTTGCTTGCGTTTGTCACGGTACTCAAGCGTTAACGACACTTCCTCCTCGGGTGTCGTAGGTTCACTTGGGCGACGGATAATAACCAATTGACCTACTACAAGACGCAAGACATGGTGAGCAGCACGATTGCTCGATGGATGTACTTCATCGATCAGTTCGACTTCACACCGAAACACAGTTCGGGCCTCTCCAGCTGAGTCACGGATGCTCCCTCGCAAAGATCAGATCTTTGTGCATTGACTCACCACGCGTTCAGTTTCGACGACGCCCTTCATCAGCATTTTGTGCGAGCATACAAGTCGGATTCAGAATACGCCACACTCTACGAGCAACTATCCTCGGATCACCCGCCGGCCAGCCACTATTGCATCGTCGATGGCTACTTGCTTCTTCACTCATGAGGCAAGGACTTACTAAGTTACGATGCATCCCACACGACCGTCGTTTACGGACTCGCCTACTCGGCGAGTACCACGACTCGAGACTCGCCGGCCACTTCGGAGTCAACCATACGATTGCAAAACTTCGGCAACGATTCCGGTGGCCCGACCCCATTACCGACGTCACTAGGTATTGCGATTCTTGCGAAGTTTGCCGACGAAGCAAACCCCGCAATCGCTACCCTTACGGCGAGTTACGCCTTTGCTTATTCCACGGGAACCCGACCTCTCCATTGCTATGGACGTCACCGGCCCGTTCCCCCGTGACCACTTCGGGCACGCCGAAATTCTCACGGTCGTGATCGATTGAGCAAGCACGCACGATTTCTTTCTTGCAAGTACTTCGCCACATCTCCTGAACTTGCACGCCTCTTACACACTGGCTGGATTTGCGGCCACGGCGTTCCGGAAGACATCGTAAGTGACAGCGACACTCGTTTTATGTCGGCATTTTGGGCCTCCCTCATGAAAGAGTCCGGCACCGAGATGAAACCAAGTCCGGCTCGGCATCCACGAACGGACGGGCAGACGGAGCGGGAACATCAAACCGCTCAAGTAATGCTTCACACACTCATCCGTACGGATCAGAAGCATTGGATGGACCGCCTCCCCGACATCGAATTCGACTACAACACTTTGTTGCACCCGGTGATCGGCGTGACTCCATTAGAGTTGCACCACGGTGGCAGGAAAGGCTGTATCTTCGCTGATCTTCAATTTCCAAGGACTGCCGACATTGACGCCGCGTGTTCTCCCGCCTCTGTTCGAAAGTATAGGGAGTCGCTGGCTAAAGCCCGCGCCAACATGCAAAAGGCTTAAGTCCGCATGCAACACCAAGCTAACAGGCGTCGCGTTCCATGCGCTATCCGCGCCGACGACCTTGTTTGGGTCTCCATGGAGGAGTTTGCGCTTGAAAAAGACGTATCCCATAAGCTGCTTCCAAAGTGGTTTGGACCATGGCCCGTCACAGCAGCCGCGGGCGATGAGCCCGATGGCCCCTCATTTGTGATCGGAATCCCGTCGCATCTCACGGTGCACCCGGTTTTCCACGCCTCCAAGTTGGCCACATATACACCAGCCAAGAGCGACGACTTCCCAGGTCGACGATCGCAGGACCCTCCTTCCATCGATGGTCATCAGGAAGTCGACCGCGTCATCATGCATCTCAAGCACGACAACACGCCAATGCAGTATAAATTCACATTCAAGTGGTGCGACCGCGACGACACGCGATGGATTTCCCGGGCGGCTTTGCAAGCCTCCGCACCAGATATCTACGCTGATTATGAGAAAAAACGGCTAGCCACGAAAGCCACACAGCCTCCCACCCGGACTTCAGTCCCTCCCTCCAACAGCTTCGCCCTCATAGGTAAGCTCAGTCTTTCAAGGAGGGGGGAGTGTGGCATACTCTGTACCGCATGGGCCCAGTAGAGCCCGACAAGGTAGACTAAGGGTCAGCAGGTGTAGGGCCTATTTCGTTTCAGCCTAAAAGCCTGAAAACACTATCAAACCGTATGAGCGCGCGTGCTTTATCCCCCCCCCTCCCCGCTCAAAGCGCTCAAAGCACTTAAAAAAAAAAAAAAAAAAAAAAAAACGTGTGCACTGGATGGGGATGCCGTAGGGAGGGTTGCACGGGAAAAAAGGATAGGGGGGTGGGGGGTGCGCGTGTGTGTGTGTGTGTGTGTGCATCAGTATGTGTGTGCACGTGTGTTTGTGTTTGTGTTTATGTTTATGTGTATGTGTATATGTGTGTAAGTGTGTGTGTGTGTGTGTGTGTGTGTGTGT